CACAACGATGATATTGATGTCAGTAAAAATAAAAGAATGATGATGATGATGGCGATGATAATAAAATAAAATAAATGATATTAATATTAATATTAATATTAATAGAGATGTTGTGGTGGTGTAGGAGGTGGTGATGGTGGTAATGAAGATGAATAATGATAATAATAATAATGAGGGTCAGTGAAGAGAGTGGGAGTCATTCCCATTGTTGTTGGTGTTCTGGGCACCGGATCGGTTGTAGAAGAGTGTGCTTAATGCCAAGATTGGACCCTTACAGAAGACTGAACTCCTTAGGAGTGGCCGTATACACCGAAGTGTTCTCGAATCACGATGCAAATGTGCCACTCTCAGTCCACTGCTTGGGTACTCTTGTCCCATCTCCAGCAAAATGTCTGCCGACGATATGAGAATAATAATAAAATAGTAAAGAGAAAGAGAAAGAGAAAGAGAGAGAGAGAGAAGGAGAAAGTGATAGAAAGAGAGAGAGAGAGAAAGATAGAGAGAGAGAGAGAGCGAGATAGGTAGATAGATAGATAGATAGATAGATAGAAAGAGAAAGGTATTTAGAAAAAGAGAGGTATATAGACAGAGAGAGAGAGAGAGAGAGAGAGAGAGAGAAAGAGAAAGTGATAGAGAGAGAGAGAAAAAGAGAGAGCGAGATAGATAGATAAGAGAGAGAAAGATAGAGGTATATAGAAAGAGATAGAGAGAGAGAGAAAGAGAGAGATAGAGATAGAAAGAGAGATTGGTAGAAAGATAGAAGAAAAAAGCGGGTGATGGAAAAAGTAAGTTTTCTATTCAAGACAAGCGAACCCAAGAAAGGCAGGAAGGAAGGAAAGAAGGAAGGAAGGAAAATACGTGGGGTTGTGGGGAGGTGTTCTGGGAGCAGCACAAGAATATAACAGTGTCCGCGCGACAAGGTGTTGCCAGGCGTGTGTATAATGACAGAAACCACCTTAAAAATGACAGCGATTCAGATTAAACATTTTGCGGGCGCTTAAGAATACATTAAATTATCCCGTTAAAAGGATTTTGCATTGAAGTCTTCTATATGCAAGTTTAAATGACTTCCGACTATAAAAACATTGGTTAAAAGAATTAAAAAAAAAAGCCGTCGCATGTAATTGATCATATTGTATCCAATTTATCTGGATTAGATTTAAATGCATTCTTGTTATTTGCAGAATCAAAGTGAACTGAAAACTTTTCATCGTAAAAATGAAAGCTTATGTGTAAGCCATTAGACAAAAAATGTCTGACTCAGTTTTGACCCTTTGCATATCAATACCCTGCCTTTGTTTAGTCGTATTACCGAATCTACCCTTTGTGTCATCGAATGAATAAACAAATTAAACGCCAAGGCAGGGGCGAGGCTACTAGATTCTATCCGCTGAATGCGTTGAGGACGAGTCTTTTACCTGTTATGATTTGAATAAACGCTAAAATCTTCCGCGAGCATCCTCCATCACTTGTACTTTTAAAATTTGGATGGGTCAAAAGTAGGCTTACACTTTGTAGATATGCTTTTTTACATTTTTTAAAAAGATTTTATTGCATTTATATTTATTTGTTACAATAATATATGTTCAAAACTGTTATAAATTTACTTACATTTTTAGCACGGTTTAATCTGCTAAGTGTTCAAAATGTCCTCCTTCAACATTACAAAATTCCTTGAACCTCTCCAGAATCTTGTGCCACACAGTACGACACAAATCCCAATTTGCATCAATTTCAATAAATACTTCTCAGATTTACTCTTTTAATTCGTCCATTGCGTGGGGATTTCTCTCATAAACCTTGTTCTTTATTATACTCACGAAAAAGAAATTCATTGGTGTTAGGTCAAGTGAATGTGGTGGCTATTCGATGCCGCCTCCTTCTTCTGAACCAATGCTGTGGAAAGTTTTGGTTAAGGTAGTCCCTTACTGCCAAATCATAATGGGGAGATGCTCCATTTTGTTGAAAGAACAATTAGGTGAAGATAGCTCTGGTTTTGAACTATGACATAAAACGTGAAATTAATAGTAAAACAACTGTAAGCCTATTTTTGGCCCACCCTGTATGTATATTATTTGGAATGCACCTTTCTCTCATAAACCTTGTTTTTTTTATTACACCCCCACCCCCACAAAAAAAAGAAATCCATTGATTTTAGGTCAGGTGAATGTGGTGGCCATTCGATGCTATCTCTTCTTTCGAAGCAATGCTGTGGAAAGTTTTGATTAAGGTAGTTCCTTACTGCCAAAGCATAATGGCGAAGTCAGCTCTGCTGGTGAAACAACTCTAAGTCTTCTTTTGGCCCACCCTGTCTATGAAAAGTCACAAGAAAAACGTCTCAAACCAAGTCATCCACTTTGACATGGGTTGTTTTAACAGAGTAAAAGTGATCAAACTCTTTTGGCCATATTGTCCTAGTGTTAATTTAAACTAACGCCTTCTTTTTTCGCATATACTGTGGCCATTTTGCTTAAGGTCGTATTTTCTTAATTTGAGATAAAAACTTAACGAATTTTCCAATGTAATTCAGTGAAAATCTCACTTAACAAAATTATACTTTACAATTTAAATATATGATGGAAGAAAAAAGAAGAAGGCCTCAGTTAGAACCATATCGTCTCAGCATCGGACTTAATGTGACACTTTCTATTTTCATACGAGGGTCATTCAATAAATAAGGTGAATTTTTCGGTATAAGGACTTCTAATACAGATAGAAGCTTACTTTGTTTTTTTTTGTTTGTTTTTTTTTTTTTGTTTTACTTCTTTTTCACATGGATTGAATTTCTTTTGCAGATTAAAAAAAAAAAGACTTTGAGAGTTTTGGCGATTAACAAAGATGGCCGACCAAAAAGCATGCTCCAGGATTGAATAGCGGTCAGTTATCAAGTTTTTGTTGTTGAAGGGCAAACCAGTTGAAATTCATAGGAGAATATCAACTGTGTATGGTGCCACATGTTTCAGCAAAAAAATGTCTACAAGTGGGCTAAATTGTTTAAAGAAGGACAGAGCAGTGTTGAGGATGAAGACAGGCCTGGGAGGCCTACAGAAGTGAGGTCTCCTGAGGTGATCGAATCAGTCAATGACCTTATTCATTCTGACAGAAGAACTACTTGTGAACTGCTGAGGCAGGTCAAGAAAGACATAAAGAACAAACGCAGGGGTCATCAGCCAGAAGGAGTCATCTTGCATCATGACAACGCAAGGCCTCACGCAGCAGCCCAAACGGTGCAGACCATCAACGAGCTGGGGTGGGAACTGCCCCCCTCATCCCCCTTACAGCCCGGACCTTGCCCCATTCAGACTTTCACCTGTTTGGTCCCTTGAAAGCATTCACGAGAGGCACGAAGTTTAAAAGTGACGATGAAGTCAAAAGTGTTGTGAGCGACTGGCTGAGACATCAGTCCAAAGATTTTTACGCTGAAGGAATACGGAAGCTTGTGCACCGATGGGAAAAGTGTATGACAGTGCTGGGAGACTACGTTGAAAAATATAAAAAAAGTAAGCTTCTATCTGTATTAGAAGTCCTTATACCGAAAAATTCACTTTATTTATTGAATGACCCTCGTATATTGAAACCATTTCCCGTAACGTTTATATTCTTTTACAAATGAAAATTTAGTCATTTCCTAACATATTTCAGCGAAATTTTCACTTTCAAAAATTATAGATAGACTAGCTTAAATGCCGCTCTATAGGGCGGCATTTAAGCCATCTCCTGCGGAAGGATTTTGAATGGGCCTTCATTACAATAGGTAGGGAAGAGTAAATGCAATAGGCGAACTCAGAATTGATCGCTGCATTTAAGTATTGCATTAATATTTAAGCTTACCTCTTACAAGTTCAACGCTAATTCTTCCGCCGCCACTTAATTTAAAGACAATTTGATGAAGGTAGATCCTTAGTTTCCATACAAAAAAATTCGTCGGAAAAAATCACGTACAAAAATCGCCGAAAACAATCGGAGTTAAAAAGGCAAGGCATTATCTCAAAACGAAGTCATTAGTTAAAAATATGACTGTAGTTAAGAAAAGAAGATATTTGTTACAAAAAGAAGTATTGAAAAAAGAAAGCTTTACTTTAAAGAAAAGGCATTAGCAAAAAAAGAAGGCGATAATTGAAAAATAGAAGGCATTATTTAAAAAAGAAAGTATTAAACAAGGCATTAATTAAAATAGGAAGGCATTAGTTTAAAAAAGTGAATGCTTTAGTCAAAAGAAAAGTCATCAGTTAAAACAGAAGACATTAGTTTAATAAGAAGGCTTTAGTTAAGAGAAAGAAGTTAAAAGTTTAGAAAAAGAAAGCGTGAATTCAAAAAAATGAAGGTATTAGTTTAAAAAAGGAAGGCGTCAGTTAAAAAATGAAGACATTAGTTAAAAAAGGAAGACACCAGATAAAAAAAAAACATTAGTTAAAAAAAGATAACGTTATTTAAAAAGAAAGCAGCAGTTGAAAAAAGAAGACAGCAGTTATAAAAAAAGGTAGTAATTCAAATCAATATCAGAAGAATATAAGTTAAATGTATGTAAGCGATGAAAAGTTTGTTAACAGAACAAACGGTTCATAGCAATGAAAACCTTTACATAATTTATATGATTTCAACATGTAACAGCGAAATATGTTGCTTTTTGAAAACGACGTATTCAAGATAACTCTTTGTTTATGATTTCAAAGAATTGTATCATTTATTACAAATAAATGAACCATTAAAATCATTGCAAATTAATTGCAACGTACAGGATTTGTAAAAGACTTGAAAATAAAAGAAAAGTACAATAGGGCCAATTCCGTTTATATTTTTTGATGTTTGAAAAATTGTAACTTAAAGTAAAAATAAATTGAATTTAGAGAATATGCCGGAAAGACGTCTTGTTCCATTACGGTTCTCCATAGCTTCCTGTACTTTATTGATCCAAGCAACATACCTTTTTTCTTCTTTTAAGCACGTAGTCCATTCACGTTTCACCACAGCTTTCTGTACTCTGTTGATCTAAGTAACGTATGTCCCTTTGCCATCCCTCTCAGTCCCAGACCGTTTTTCTTCTTTCAGACACCTTGTACATCAACGGTTACCTACAGCTTCCTGTACTTTGTAGATCTAAGCAACGTATGCCCGTTTACCACTCCTCTCAGTCCCTGGCGTTTTTCTTCTTTCAGGAGCCTTCTGACATCACGGTTCACCACGGCTTCCTGTACTTTATAGATTTAAGCAACGTATGCCCGTTTACCACTCCTCTCAGTCCCTGGTGTTTTTCTTCTTTCAGGAGCCTTCTCACATCACGGTTCACCACAGCTTCCTGTACTTTGTAGATCTAAGCAACGTATGTCTCTTTACCACCCATCTCTGTTCCTGGCGTTTTCTTCTTTCAGTCTCCTTGTCCACTAACGGTTATCCACAGCTTCCTGTACTTTGTAGATCTAAGCAAGATATGTCCCTTTACCATCCCTCTCGTGCCCTGGGCTTTTTCTTCTTTCAGGCACTTTGTCCATTAACGGTTCTCCACAGCTTCCTGTACTTTCACACACTAGTAATATCTGAACTCAGTAGAACACAGCAGGTGTTTTTCTTCTCCCGCGCCTCTAAAAAGAATAAGACTTACTTCGGTTACTTAGAAGAACATCTGCTAACAAAGACGCATTTTTGTCACACGACACGACTAAGCGTTATATGATTGTTATCGCTATCTATGCGTATACGCAATCAGCAGGAGAAGATTCTTCAGGTTACCCTATATACAAAGGAAAATAAATAAGGCGTATGAATACGGAAAATTAGATGCGACTCGCAGTCACTTTACCTTTGTTTACTGCCCTATTCCAATCTTACACTTACGCACACAACGAGAGAAAGAATCCTTTATAGGTTATTTTTTATTTTTGTCACCCTAGCAATAATGGCCGAACAGTGCCTGGGTCCTTTCTGATTTAAAAAAAAAAAACGAAAGATAATCTCCCAATGTCTGAATAGTATAAAATAATTTTTTTGTTCCATATACTGAATACTTGCTTGATAGTAGATGTAATTTTAAAATTATATACATACATATATATATATATATATATATATATATATATATATATATATATATATATATATATATACACATACATATGCAAAATATATAAATATATATACATGTTCCCTTCCACTCACCTCTAGTTAAAAAACCTCTCTGATAAGTTTTAATCTCCCACCTTCTCTCGTCTGTTACCCTCTCTTTAGCTCTAACATTCGTCCCACACTCTCATACTTACACTCTCTCTAAATTTTATTTTTTATTTCCGGAGTTGTTTTTTTTTTCTGTTTTTTTGAATTTGTAGGTCTGATGAATTGGATCGTATTTACGATTCCAATGGAATAAATGATGACCATGGAATATTAGTGTTTAACCCTTTTTATTATATATATATATATATATATATATATATATATATATATTTTATATTATAAATTAATTGATTTAAAATATGTTTTTTTTTTGCTACACAGTTCCAACCATGTTTAAAAAATAGAAGCTAAAAACCCCGAATTTAATTTTACAAAATTAAATTCGGGGATTTTTTATAATATTAATGCTCTGTAAATTTACATTGAGCACTATTTTGTAAAAATAAAAATATCTATAAGAACACGGGATTTTATATCTTGCTGTTCTTTCTTTTTATTTATATACATATATATTTTATATATATATTATAAATTAACTGATTTAAAATATGTTTTTTTGCTGCACAGTTCTAACCATGTTTCAAAAATGCAAGCTAAAAGCTTCAAATTTAATTTTGTAATTAAATTAAAGACATTAGTTCCATTTCATCCTCAAGCGAATTTTGGAGTAACTTATTTAAATTACTGGGTTTTAAAGGCACTGTAAAAATTCATAATTCACGTTTCCAAGGATACAGAGAAATCCATTCAACCAGACAAGGGGTGGTTGCGTGTTCATTATACCTGTATTTTGATGTATCAGTTATTAGTTACATTTTCGTAGGGGTAGGGATGTATTTTTCAATGAATTCTGGCATCCGTTAAATGCATGTCGTCTGGATGTTTTTTAAAAAATTATTTTTACCGGCAAAAATTCTTACGGCATTTTTTGTATATTTGTATACTTAAAGATTTTTGTGGGGTGTTCCGGTTAGAATACGTTTTATTTAACTACGATTTTAAAAATATTTTCACTTTTAATTTTTAAAATAATTTTACATACTGTAAGTAATTCCAATACATTTACTTGTTTTAAAAAGAAACATATTTTTAAAACAAGGAAATGTATTGGAATTACAGTATGTAAAATTATTTTCACTTCAAGTATAAGTATGTATATTACCTGGTCACAATTTAAAAAAAAAATTGTATTTAAATATTATTTAAGTAAAATTTATGACAATGACGGCAAAAATCGCTAATTCATTTCTCTGATTTAGTAAACTTTTAATTTTCTGTTACACCCGGTGTATATATATATATATATATATATATGAAGAAATATAGTCTTAAGGTGTGCTATATTTATGGGATAAAGTGCTCGATATCAGAGATAGAGCGTGTGTAAATATAAAAGTGAACATAGAAGTCAACACTTAGAGGCGACAGTCTGTTTCATGCTATAAAAACAAGCAAAATAATTTAACCCAAATAAATAAATAAACGACTTCCGGTAAAATAACCGCCATAATAGACTACCCACAATGCACCACTGACCCGTATATGTATAAATAGCCGAGAAAAATAACAGCACACGTGATTTTGACGATTGCATATAGCTTGAAACAGACTGTCGCCTCTAAGTGTTGACGTCTATGTTCACTTTTATATATATATATATATATATATATATATATATATATATATATATATAGCAACTTGTTACTCAATATATATATATATATATATATATATATATATATATATATATATACTGGGTGTAACAGCAAAATTGTCCAAATCGTGTATCAGCAAAATTGATTAATTGTTAGATTAAGCTCTGAACCGTTCTATCTTTAAAATGATTACACATATCTTACTGGAATTCTCCGAGGTTTTTAAAACATTATTTGACTCTACTTTGAGCAATAAGAATATATAAACATGGCGACAAAGATGAGGACAATAGTCCGAATAACGTAAATAATGTACATAATACCTCATCTCAGAAATATAGACAGATACTGAAGAATATATATGAAAATGATAGGTTCATCATTAATTAATCATAGTTATGGACAGGAAACTCAATCAAGTTAATATATATATATATATATATATATATATATATATATATATATATATATATATATATATTTCCAGGATCCTTTTACAACTTATTCACGATGATCTTCACCCTCTCTAAAATTCTAACTTTCTGTCTTGGAAAACAGGTTAAAATTGTTTTGTGTCAGTCCCACTGCCTTCTCAATAGTGAGGGGAAAATACTTTCTGTCTTGGAGTAACAAGTTGCCTCACAGGTTTAACATACGATTTTATTCTCAAGTCTTTTTTCACTACTTTTGGACAGTCATAGCCGAAACTTCTTTCTCACATGTCAGACATCATGGATTGAGTTGGATCTTTTCTAATTGATCTCTTTAGCTCTAAGTTGAAATGATGATTCCTCTTCCTGTTGTGACCTCCTGATTCAGTTTCTCTCTCTACTGTTCCGTCTTTTTAAAACATATTAACCATTTTCTCGATGGTTCTTGAATGGACTTTGAGGATGGAAGCCAGAATATGAATGTTGGTACCATTACTGAAGGCCTGAATGACCTTTTCCCCTCATTATTGAGAAGACAGTGGGGCTGACACAAAACGATCTTAACCTGTTTTCTTTCTAGCTGAATAGCTGAAAGAGCTTTTCAGTGATTTTTAAGACAAATGGTATCAAGATGGCTAAACATCTTATCTGAAAACCTGGAAAAAAGAAACTCAATTAGTTTAGTGTTTTCTTTTTAGATATTAAACATTTTGTGAGATGGACAATTATGCTGTAACACGGTTCAGGCGACTTTGCTGTTACATCCGGTATATATATATATATATATATATATATATATTTGTGTATTTAGGCAGCAATCCTTCTTTCACAAAAAAAAATGCACAAAACCAGTTGACAATAGAAAAAAATTAGATTTAATTATTTATTAATAAAAATTAAAACATCTAACCTTATAGTTAAAAATAATAATTCACCTCTTAGAAAAAAATTAAATAGGACATTATTGATAAATTTCAATGTCCATTAAGGAAGTGTATTCCTGATCAATCAAAATTCGTAAATAATTATATAGGCCACACTACGACATGTTTGACACGAAAACTCACACTACATCTTTCTGACCATAGCTCAATAAGATCTCATTTAAATATTTATGGAGACCTACCGGACACTATTCGTAACATACTTGTTGACAACATTAATATAATAGCATCATCTACATTCAAAAAAGGCTAAAAATAATGGAAGCCTTATTAATAAAAGCAAAAATCAAAAACTCAGTAATATCAACTATGAACATGGACACAATATCATGACCGTGTTTTGAAAATGAAAACATTATATAAATAAATTGATACAACAAACTAATTCTTGTTAACAGTTAATATATTTCAACCTTGAAAATGGCTAAATGTATAGCCGAAAGCGCTCAGATAAAAAGAAAAATTGGACAATTTTTTTTTTCTAGTTTATCATCCGAAAAGAAAAATAAAATTAGATCACATGAGGAATTGTATAAAAAACTAAATCAAAGCACCTTGTCTGTCGTATTCAATAAAAAATAATATATATATATATATATATATATATATATATATATATATATATATATATATATGCATGAATGTATGTATTTATATGTGTGTGACCAGTAAAGAAAAAACTTATCTGAGTACAAGAAAAATTGTATAAAATCTTAATCACAGTTCCTTGTCAGTCTTCTCCTCCTAACTATGGATTAAATATTATGTATCAGAAAACCATATTATCTCCCAAAAATTATATTTCGGCTTTAAATAACCTTTAAAAATCGATTAGTCCTTCAAAACAAAGCAATATATATTTTTTTTAATCATTTTAATCTAAGCAATGTAATAAAGCCACTAGCAGGCAAGAGGTTACGGATTGTTAGAAAATATGAGAGAAACTATTATGAAAGAGAGAGAACAATAAAAGAATAAAAATTAAGAAAACAGAAGATTACGTCTAAGTTGAATTTAAATTTTTGAAGACCAAACTTGACTTGCAAGCAAGAAGTCGGAAGAGATTCACACAAGCGAGAAGTGCCATCGAAGGAACTGTTAGTATAGAACTTACGGTTGTTAGACAAGATGAGAAAAATATTCTGTTAAGAAAAATATTCTATTAAGAAGAGAGGACAATAAAAGAACTGGAATTAAGAAGACAGAAGATAACGATTGACATTGCATTAAAATTTTTGAAGACCAAAGTTGACTGGGAAGCAAGAAGTCGGAAAAGAGTTCCACAGGCGAGAAGTGCGATCGAAGAAAGAGAA